AGAACTATGCTGGCATATGCGAATCTTCCACAGTATCTTTGGGCTGAAACTGTCTCCACTGCATGTTTTACTTAAAATTGATCTTTCATCCATTGTCGTTTTAATATCACTCCATATGAAATAATAAATAATTGAAAACCAAATATGAAATTTTTCCATGTTTTTGGATGTAGGTGCTTTATTATGAATCTTAAGGATAATCTTTCGAAGTTTCAAGCAAAAGCTGATGAAGGGATTTTCCTAGGATATTCGCATAATTCAGTTGCCTATCGTGTGTTGAACAAAAGAACATGAAAAGTGGAAGAAACATTTAATCTTACATTTGATGATTATTATATCAAACAAACTGAAAAGCATTTTGAAACTCATCCTATTTTAAAAGAAATTCATGAAGAATATGAACCTTCACAACCAGTGGATATTGATTATGATTTGATTTTTGGAATTTCAGATCATGTTGTTGATGCTGAAATTAATGCCAATGATAATCATATCTCTTAATTTATGAAGCTCAATGATAGTCCAACATCACATCCTCAAGAAATGGACGAAAGTATGCATATTAATCCAGTAGAAGGGGAACACTTGGGTTCGAACACTCATAATCAGGGGGAGCAATCTTTCGAGGGGAAGAATGAGAGAGTGGATGTTGATGTTGAGGGGGAGCATTTTGAACATAATGAAAATTTTCATAATTTTAATGATAAATGTTCAATTGCAGGTTCAGAAAATGATGATCTATCCGAAGATGCACCTTTGGAATTTGATCCAGCTTATCCACCAATGGAAAAATGGACAAAAGATCATCCGAAGGAACAAATAATTGGGAATCCACAAGGAGTCTTAACAAGAGCTTAAATTCGTGCAAAGCACGAGCTATTAAATACTCATCGAGAATTTTGCATGTTCAATGTTTTTATCTATAAGATTGAATGAAAGACAATTAAGATTGAAATGGAACACTCAGATTAGGTTGTTGAGATGCAATCTGAATTATCTAAATTTGAACAAAACAAGGTTTGGAGATTAATTCCTAAGCCAAATGATGTTTCGATTGTCGGGTTAAAATGGATTTCAAAAATAAAACGAACAAAGATGGAAACATTGTTCGAAACAAAGCCAGGCTCGTTGTTAAAGGTTATTCACAACAAGAAGGAATAGATTACGAACAAACTTTTTCTCCTATCGCAAGACTCGAGGTTGTTCATATATTTCTGGCTTATGCAGCTCACAAAGACATTGATGTTTATCAAATCGATGTGAAGTGTGCATTTTTAAACGTAGAGCTTGAAGAAACCGTTTATGTAGAACAACCCCTAAGTTTTATTAACGAAGAACATCCTAATCATGTTTATATCTTAGATAAGTCAGTTTATGGTTTAAAACAAGCACCACGAGCATGGTATGCAATGCTTTCTTTGTTTTTAAAACAATCTAAATTTAAACAAGGATCAGTTGATCCCACATTATTTTGAAAGAAAGATGGGAATCATCTCATGCTTGTTCAAATCTATGATGATGATATAATTTTTCGCTCAACTGACCTTGCTTTGTCTAGTGAATTCGAAAATTTGATGAAAAGCAAGTTTGAAATGAGCATGATGGGAAAAATCAATAATTTTCTTGGGTTGAATATTTTTCAAAATAGAGAAGGTATTTTTATCAATCAAGAAAAATATACGAAGAATCTACTAGAGAAGTTTGGATTGACGAATAGCACAAAATTACGAGTTCCTATGGCAACTGGCATAAAGTTGACACCTTCTTTAGATAAACCTGCAATTAACCTAACTCTTTATCGAAGCATGATTGGTTCATTACTTTATCATACTGCTAGTCGACCTAATATTATGTTTTATGTGTGTAATTATGCTAGGTATCAGTCAACTCCACGAGAACCACATCTTACTGTTGTGAAGAATATATTTCGATATCCTAAGGGAACAATTTCGTTAGGATTGTGGTATCCCTCGAAAATTGGGTTCTTTGTTCAAGAATATTTGGATGCAGACTTGGGTGGTTGTGATCTTGATAAAAAAAGAAAAAGTGGTGGTTGTCAATTGCTTGATGGTAAAATGGTGAGCTACCAATCGAAAACGCAGACGTGTGTATCAATTTTAACTGCTGAAGTAGAATATGTGGCTACTGCTGCTTGTACATCACAAATAAATTGGATCCAAAGTCAATTGTGTGATTATGCAATTAATATGAAAAGGATTCCATTATATTGTGATTCTCAAAGTGCCATAAGAATGTCATAATCCTGTGCAGCATTCGAAGACTAAACATATAGCTCTTCGTTATCATTTCATCAAGGATCATGTGGAAGATGGAAATATTAAAGTGCATTTTGTGAAAACAACAAATCAGTTAGCTGATATTTTCACAAAACCGTTAGATGAAAAGTCATTTGTATGAATTTTGGAAGGACTTGGAATGATCGATGGAAACTCTGTTCCATGCGACAAAGGAGAATGATGGTTAAAAAGGAATGGTTCAGAGGGACGAAATCAAAGAAAAACGAATGTCATTCGGTATTCAGAGGTTACTGTTCATAGTCAACTCTTCGAATCCTTCGAATTCGTAAATCTGTCATTTTTCACGGATTGATTAAATTTCGTATGTTTGCAACAAGTACATTTCAATTTCTTATTTGTTTTCGAAAATCAAAAATTCCAAAAAAAATATAATTTTTTTTATTTTCAAAAAATCAAAAATGCCAAAAAGAATTTTTTTTTTATTTTTCAAAAGTCCAAAAACAACAAAAATATTTTGTTTCTCTTTTCTTTTTCGTATTTTGTTGTAGATTTACATGTTGATTCACCTGGTGTAACGCTTTCAGTTCTAGGGTAAGGTATTTTTTTTTGAATACTTTTGAACTAGTTAAGATGTCCCTAGAAGCATGTTGTAGCATGTTGACCAAAGCCTCTACTGACTCAATGTGTGTGTTCGAAAGCCTTAATGAAATTTTTCATAAAGAGATTTCTTCCCAATCAGGCTTGTATCCAATTAGTCTTCTGAGCTACATGACTCTTCTCACATGAGTTAAGAGTTTACTGTTTGGTCCAAATATAACATAGGTACATTTCGTGTCTTCTACCAATCTTTTTCATCTCAAAATTCTTACACAATCACACACGAAGACATATGTCCAATAGATATCTGATAAAACAAATCGAAACCTAGCATATCAAAACTCTATGTTTACGATCGGACATCATGAGACCGCAAATCTCTCAACATTTAAGGAAATGACGAGGAACTATGTTCCAGGTTTTAACGAAACATTTGTTTCTATACCTACATTTGAAACTCCAAATCATATGCATTTCTTATGAGTGGTCTTGATCAAACATTCGAAACCCACGATGTTTGTTACCCAACAGGATCCAGTACACAAATTTTTTTCTTGCATATGATTTCCGTGTGAGTTTTATTCAAAATTCAAAATCATTTAAATGTTTTCCAAAGAAAACTTATCACTGACTACACTGGTCAAACAATTAATTTCTGTTACACTTACTCACCTTTTGTTTAGGTTGATATGTAACAAAATTCATTAAGCCACCTAGTAAGCCTTTTAAAAGAAGCCCTTCGATACTTCTTTACAAGTATTCGATTGTAATTCACGGGAACATACACAAATATGTTGATCATCTCTCGTAATGATTAACGAAGCAACCTTTTCCTGGGGTTTTAATTGCCTTTGTGTCATATTGAATTTATGACATCACTGAATTCCAAATTTTTATTTTTATTGCTTCTCATCTAAATTCTTTGGAACATTACACACACGAAATCCTTGAGGTTTTGAGTAACACCAACTCAGGCTGATCATTTCAAACATCTGGCAAATGACTTTACTCTAAAACCCAAAAGTAAAAGAGCCTTACTTCCATATGAAGGGTTCCGAAGGTTCCTATTCCTTTAGGGCAAACAAACTAGCCTGTTTGAGGAGACGTTTTGTATTCTGTCTGGGTTTTGAGGAGACGTGACAGTTACTTTATCACGCATCGTCACTTTATCATCATCATGACATGGTTTTCTCGGTGCCATGTCAGATTTCATTAAATACACATCCCGTTTTTATTTCAAAATCAAGGGTTACATATAAAAGGGGATTCAAGGGTTCATTATCAGTTTACGCTTTCAAACACAATAATTTCTAAATACTCTCTGATCTACACCAAGTTCTCAAACACTAACAATGGCGACTGATGCTAATCTTTCTCACACCACGGATGATGTTACTTCTTTACCGATTATGAAGATTTAGGGTACGAATTCTCAAGTGGAGGCTAATGTTTCTCAATACCCTAAAGAACTCAAGATGCTAATCGTTGCTTTGAAGAGTTCAGTTCTGTCAAAAGCAATTTTCAGTTCATTTTATGTTCCACTTTCATGGCTTTCTCAAGTCGGATCATCTGGTACATATTCAAAAGCTTTTGATGCAGTTACTTTCAATCTTATGAATGATAAAAAGGTCAGATTGTCCAAGAAGCTTTTCTGTCAGATTTTGGAAATCCCTAATTCCCCACTGTATGTCAATTTTACCTTACCTCAAATCGTTCATATGTTTAATTAAGTGGGCCATCAACGTCAATTATCCAAGATCGGTGACTTCAAGAAGTCCGGTCTTCCTAGTGTTTAGAATTTCTTATTTGGTATTTTCTTGAAGTGTTTGACTAGAAGAATGGTAGGTCTTGACAAGGGTCGAACGGAGGTATATGCCATGGTTGCAGGCTTTATTATGATCTACAAGTGGATTATTCTACTCAACTGTGGAAAGAATTTCTAAAGAGTATCGAAAACATGAATGCTCTTCATGGCATTTCGTGTGCAAGAGATTGGAGCTTGATTTTGCAGTACTTTTATGAGAAAGAGGGTATTCTGGTACCAAATGTTGAGGAAAAAGCATTTTTTTTCATGTATACAGTTGTCCCAAGGATGCAACTGATGATGCTGAGGAGTTTCCTTTTGTAGCTTGCATTCCTAATGTGATGCTCAAACGTGTTGATCCAACGAATATTGTCTTAGTGACTGATTTGCAAACAATTGATTCTACTATTGAGACTTGGATTCTATTGGCAACGGAGGAGACAAGGTCAAAACGTACGAAGAACACTGAAACTGGTTCTTCTAAAAAACAAGTCAAGGAGTCTAAGTCTACAAAGATTCCAAAGAAGAAACCAATCACTATTGAAGAGCCAGTGACACACAAACTTTTGGTTGCTGACACAACCTTAACTAAGCTTGTTGGTCCAGAAACTCAACAAAAAGAAATTATTCCTTCTAGGACCGGTGTTTTTCGACGAATCAAAATGAAGTCGAAGCATAATAGCATATCTCCAAATACTAATGTAGTACGAAAGCCACAGGTTACTCATCAGGGAATATTATTTCGTGAAATTCCAGCGCTTGTTTCTCCATCATCAAAGAAACAAAGGGCTAAAGATATGGCTAAACATATCTCAAAGAAGAAGAAGAAGACAAGTACAGTGATCATCTCTACTGAATCTACAGATAATGAAGATGAATGGATTCTAGAAACTCCTACAGCAAATCTCCAAAAAGATACTTCTACTACTTCACAGACAGCTGTTATACCACCCGAAGATTCGGTTGCCAAGTCATTTTCTTAGGAGGCACGAACTACTGACATTCATGTAAACGTATCTAATATGGATGCAAATGCCATCATGGGTGAGGATGATTCGAAGAAAGATGGACAAGTTAAACCTTCGCATGTTACCTCAGAAACTTTTGTTTCTTTTCCTCCATAAATTACACCTATCTGACCCATTACTTCCACCACAAATTCTCCTACATTCGAAAACATCATCACACATCCATTTACTTCTCTTTTCTTTCTCAATCAACTGATCCACCCACAACCACATCACCAATTCAAGAATCTATCTTTATGGAGACTGAGAATGAATATGAAGGTTTTGGAGGTACTTTTGAGAATTTGGTATTTTATGAAGATGTAGATGATTTCCCAGATCATATGCTTATGTCAATGAAGCAGTTTCAAAACTTGAATACAAAGTTGAATTCTATTCTTCAATCACAAGTAGATCTTGGGGGAGGTAATTTTGTGTAAAGTTTGGAGGTTGATGGTTTCTTAAAATTGTTAGAAGGAAGAATCACTTCGAAAGTTTCTGGCATGCTCAAAGACATTGAGTCTTGTATTCTAGAGAAGGTTGATTTGTGTGTTTACATCAATGAGCTGAGGGTGAATTCTCAGAAGTCCACATTTGAATGAGATTTGAAGGAATTGTCAAAGGCGACCAAGGAACGTCATGAATTGTTTATTCAAGACGTCAAAAAGGTTCGTGAAGATGTCAATTTGAAACTTCAAGAGCTTCATCAAGATATAGACAAATAGATTGCATTTGTCGAACAGAATATGTGTCACACCCCGAAACCGATGGCAGAGACGTTCCGAAGCGGAGGTGACTTCATGTGAATATCATAACCAATGTCCACAGTAAGCGGAGTAAAACACAAAACATTACATTACATAGATTTCATTACATCAGTTGAAAAGTAAAGTATTACAAGTTTCATAGATATATAAGTTTAAACAAAAGAAAGACGTGACTTCCATTCGCTCCGTCTTCTACAAAAGGACGCGGGGTACCTGTCTAAGTAGAACCTGAGAATACAAGCATTTTAAAAATCAGCATAAAGCTGGTGAGTTCATAAGCGGTTTGTTTTTATGAAAATGTACGAGATTCCTTTTGTTTTCTGAAAAAGTGGTTATCCAAGAAAATCCCATATTTTCTTAAAAGTAAAGTTTAGTTGTTCTGTTATGTTACACGGTTCTGGTTATGAGTTGTGATTACCCCAGGAAAATCCTATATTTTATTAATGTGAAAGACGTGTACCGAAAACCAAATTAACCTTGTGAAGTGTGTGTTTGTTTACCAACCCAAAAATGTAATGTAAAAGATGTATACTGAAAACCTGATTATCATAGTAAACTAATTCTTAAGGTTATTAATTTACTATATCCATTATTACTGAAAAGTATATCTCTGTTATCCAAATTGCGAATTCTATAACCATACTAAAGACTACATATGACTCGAGACGTGGCCAATATCTTCTATGACTTCTGTCACCCTTGAACCTTTCGGTTCGGCTGTAGCCAGCACCCAGGTGTGGGATAGTCAGTCCCGTATAGATCTATACACTCAAGTCACGCTCCGTACCTAAGAGATTCTGGTTACAGAGGCAGTCCTCCACTCGCGTATCTCTGTGGAGTGTTCTCCGAGGACGTGTCTCCAATTTATAGGAATAACAAATCTACAAGTAATAATGCGGAAAGTCCTGTTTAAGTTCTACCTACAAAGACGATCCTCCACTCGCGTATCTCTGTAGAGTGTACCGAGGACAAAACGATGTACTAAATTTCTTATTCAAAATTAAAAGATTATGTTTTTAACTATTATAATGTGGAAAAACCATTTGTGAAAAATATAAGCTACAACAATTTATAACATTTTTCACAAATACTATGATAATGAAATCTGCAAGTTCAAATGGTTATTTGTTATGATTATCAGTGTTAAAAACATATGTAATATGAAACACAACACATATAAATTAAGTTTTGAGTACAAGTATTACTTGTACTTTGCTTGTATTCCCCCCTGAAAACAGTGAAAAACATTGAAAAAGGGTAGGGGTATGAACTCACCGGATGAGGAAATGTGTCGACTGGGATGCTAAACGTCGGATCAAGGCTTGAAAATGTGTGAGGTTCCTATGTAAAGTTAAATTATACACAAATGTATCTAATTAGACTTTAAAACACTAATCAGATGCGATTATACACTCCAAGACACGAAAACACTTCAAATGAAGTGTTTGGAGTGACCCGGGTGACGTTTATGGACATGAATGGCTTGGATATGGAGTTTACTCTTCAAGAGTAAACTCTTAGAAGAGTTCATGGCCCTAGACACCACATCCCCATGAGTTTACAGATGTAAACTCATGGTGGGGTGTTCTTATGTGCCAAATGGCCTTAAATCAATAGAGGGGTGATACTAGGTTTGGTTCTAGGGCATTATAAAAGAATTAAATCAACCATGTGGACCAATTGATGAGTTTATGGTAGTAAAATAAGTGTTTATGGCCGTAAACTCTCACCCACATCATTCTTAAATGTTTTGAAGGTCATATATTGATCACAGGTGGTTCTACTCAATTTTACAAACCAAGGGGTGATTTTAGGGCATCCTACAACCCATTTATAGGAGTTTATGGCCCAGGAACCCATTCTTGGGGTGTTTATGGCCGTGAACTCCTTCTGGAGTTGTTTTCATCAAGTTTATGGTCCCTAACTTGTTTGTGGTTTCTTCTAGACTTTATTCCAGGGCTTATGAGGTGTGTAAGTTGCATTTTAACACCCAAAAAGGAGTTTACTACCCATGAAAGGGTGTTTACGGCCCAAGCATGTTCTTGGGCAGTAAACTCATGTTTACTCCTCAAATGTTGAGTTTAAGGTGTTCTAAGTCCAATCGTATAAATCCTTAAGCCATATCTAAGCTCCAATGGTGATTTGGAAGGGTTTTGAGGCTCAAAAACACCATTTATATGTGTTCACGGCCCAAGAGTGTTCCACCGCTGTAAACACATGTGATAGGTCCTAAGTCATGAATTGAACTCGAATTTGAAGTCTAAGTATGTTGTACAAGAAGCTAGGATGGTTACCTTGGTGTTTTGAAGCTTGAAATGAATGGTTTTTGCATCAAATTATTGAGTTGAGGAGAGAGGTTAGAGAGAGAGAGAGAGAGAGAGTGTGTGTGTGTGTGTGTGTGTGAAAAGGCTTCAAATGAGTCTTAATTCACTTTAAATATGGTTTGAATTTGATACATGGTTGAATTCTACCCAATACTGATGTTAACCGAGGCTTTTGGTCGCACCCGATTAAGTTGTCGTCACCCGATATGGTCGAAACTAAAATTTTTCTAATTACTAGTTTGGGACGTTTTCACATGTTTCCAACATGTTTGGATACTTACAAGGTCAAATAAAATTCTTAATTTAATTGACCTAATCCAAAAACGAAATCGGAATAATTCGATTAAAACGAGTTTTACGAACTAAATAGGTTGCGGCGATGGAATAACTTCGGGTTGTCACATTATCCCCCCGTTAGAGGGAATTTCGTCCCGAAATTCAAAGATTAAGATACAAGTTATGGAAAAGGATGCGGATGTTTCTGCTATATCGGGTCTTCGCGCTCCCAAGTGAATTCAGGTTCTTGCTTGGACTTCCAGCGAACCTTCACGAACGGGATGTGGCTTGTTTTGTACGTTTGATCTCTCGGTATATGGTCTCGATTTGTTGAAGAGGGATTACTAAGGTTTCATCAGACAGGCACTTCTAAAGATTCGGGACATGGAAGACATGATGGATGTTTCTAAGTTTTGAAGGTACTCGGAGTTCGAAGGCTACGGGTTTGATCCTAATGAGGATCTCGAAGGGTCCAATTTACCACAAGTGAAGTTTTCCTTGCTTGCCATAGTGTGTCATGTCTTTCCAAGGCGACACCATTAACAGGGCACGATCTCCAACCTGGAATTCCAAAGGTTTCCATTGTATATTGGCTTAATTCTTATGTCGATCTAGTGAAATTTTCAATTGTTCTCGAGTCTGGATGATCTTCTTGACGGTTTCGCGGATGATTTCAGAACCAGTGTGGGTACTACCGGGGAATCAACTCTTGTCTAGCTGCATGTCTTCTACCTTGACCTAACACAAGGGAATCTGCACTTTTGGATGTAGAGGGTTCCAAATGGTGTAGTCTGGATACTGGTGGGATAACTGTTATTATACAAGGGCTTGATCAAAGGTAAAGGGGTATCCAAAGTCACTTAGTAATTTATGACACATGCTCCCAACATGTATTCCATGACCTGAATAACTCTCTCACTCTGTCCAATTGTCTAAGGATGATAAGTTGTACTCATATCCAGCTTAGTTCTGTGAGTTCTCAAAAGGAATCTGCCTAAATCTTGAGGTAAACCTGCTATCTCTACCAAAGATAATGGACGCAGGTATACTATGCAGTCGGACTACTTCCTTAACGTGGGTTCGCGTGAGTCATTCCATCTTGAATGATTCTCTGATCTGAAGGAAGTGAGCGGATTTTATCGAAGGATCAACCATTTCTAAATGGTATCGTACTCACTTGGGAGAACTGGGTAACTTCATGGTGAAATCCATGTTGGTCATCTTTTATTTCCATTTGGGTATCTCGGGCTGCTGGAGCAATCCCGATGGTTTCTAACTAGGCTTCTCAGGTCTGATCGATTAAACGGATTTAGATGGTCATTGTCAATCCCTTAGTCTTGTTGTCTGAGTTTTCCTTTCGGCTAAGGAGATGTTATGTTTATATTTTTCTGATTGAAGATATGTTGTAGTCTCTTATGGTCAGTGAAATTCGCGTACTTGGTTCCATTGAGATCATGTCTCTCAATCTTCAGTGCAGGGACTACTGCTCCAAATTCCAAGTCGTGAGTTGTGTAGTCAACTTCGTGTGCCTCTATTTTGTCTTTAAGCGTGAACGACAACTTTTCCTTCTCGCCTAAGCACATGATCTAAACTCTGATTGGACGTACTG